GCGCTAATATTGCGCAACATAAAAATGTTCAACTACCACCATTTTATTCTATAGGGTCTTGGCATTCAGAAAATATATAATGTTGGGGGGTTTTACGTCATTTTCAGGCCTAAAATGTGGAATATAACATGGGTGCAAAAAATGAAAAAAGGGCCTCAGTCATGAAGGGGTTAATAAAGGCAGATAAGCTGTTTACTTTCCAGGACAATTTTTACTGTGCAAGGGAATTTTCTGTTATTAAATGTAATGAAAATTCACATGATTGTATGATGGAAGTTTCGCCTCATTCACAAAGATCAGGGAAAATGCTCCAGCAAGGTGAACAGCCTATTTGCCTTTAGCAAATCAACCCCACAGAGTCAATTTGTGTAAAGCCATTTAACTTACTAGTATGCTGTGGATTGCAGAGGACATCGGGATGCTGAGGAAATCCTCACAGCCATGAGAATAAAATAACAAACTCAGTTCAGTGGCATTTGGAGGGGGTCCATTCTAGTTAACCTAGCTCTGCAGTTTGATAGTTATAATTTATTAAAGCGAGCCTGAATTTTTTTTTAAAACTAGAGTTGAATAGCTGGTTGCTGTTTTGTCTTTACCTCACTTCCTGGCTACTGGGGGTGTTAACCCCACCTCCTCCCCAAAAGTTTCAAGCAAAGTTTAAGATTATTAAAGTCGAACCTTGCAAAGCATAAATTCCCCCCCCCAATCCCAAGATTTTTTTTTTTTTTTAGCAAAGGAAGTGTAATGTAAGTACTAGGGATGCACAGATACCAGTTTTTCGGTATCGAGTACGAGTACCGATATTTATATTTCTGTACTCGCCGGTACCATTACCGCTACTTCCGGTAGCATAGAGCCAGCTTCCCAGGCAATCAGGAAGGCAGGCGGCGTGTCATTACCCACCGCCTGGCCTCTTGATTGCACGTGAAGCCGACTCCATTCTGTTTGGCCGTCTGGATGCTGATTTGCCCAGGAAGCCGGCTTCCCAGCCAATCGGCATCGAGGCCGGCTACACAGATCTGACAATATGGTGACACGACCCCCACCCTGCAGGCACCTCATTTCCCTCACATAGATCTTTAGCAGCATTCATTAACATACCAGTCCCTCGGCCAGCTGGGCAGACACCGCTCTCTGGGATCTGCCCTCTCCTGTGTGTACAGCGCCCACGTGATCGACCCTCAGCCTGCGCATGCGCAGACTGCTCAGCGCTCTCATCCAGAAATCCTGTGCATGCGCAGTAGCAGGCTGAGAACCCATATTGTGGGCGCTGTGCGCACAGGAGAAGTGGGCAGATCCCAGAGAGCTTGGAGATCGGTGTCTGCCCAGCTGGCCGAGGGACTAGTACGTTAATCAATGCTGCTAAGGATCTATGTGAGGGGAATGAGGTGCATGCAGGGTGGGGGTCGTGTCGCCATATTATCAGATATGTTTGCCCGGCTCGACGGATGCCGGCTTCACGGCCAATCCGCATCGAGCTGGCCAAACAGCATGGAGATGTCCACCACCATCACATCAAAAGGCGATTTCTCTTCCTTGTCTAGTCGTAATTCGAGCTGTGTTATATAACTTGCAACTACTGCTTCCATTTGAAGGACTGATGCCTCTTTCTCACCCCTGATGGTCCCTGCAAAGTGAAACCAGCTTCTTGTTCCACTATTTCTCGGTGGCTTAAAAAGAGCATCATCTAAGGTTATGGTTTTAAGGGTCAGGTGCTACCCTTTCCTGTAAAAGCACAATCTACTAGGTTTGTGAGTTTCCACTTCTCCTGTGAATCCCCACATATATCAACAGATAGCATAAGTGGACCGTGGAAGGCCACAATCTCAAGGGATACTTTGGGTTAGAATTTCACATAATCCATGCCCAGAAGTAGAAATAATATGGCAGTATTAAAGGCATTCATCGGAAACTTGCCAAATGTATTGGCTGATAGATGTACATGTTAGGAGAAGGGAGAATCAGTAAATGGTCTGACAGTAATTGAGCGTATTGCTCTCTGTATTGCTGGCATATTAATAATGGGCATTGTTAGTAGTTTTAAGCAAAGCTACCTATTATCCTGTAATAGGTTCTATGATTTCTGTTCTTGAATCGATCATCTCTTTCTTTGTTTTTGTTTATGAATCTATTTATCTAGTACTGTTTTGTTTCCCAGTTTAATGAACTATAGGTGACTACAAGTGCGTAAGGAACAGTATGTAAAAATTCCCAATTAGGAAATCTTAAAGGGGTTCTAAACCCTCCTGGTTTATTTTGCCTATATCTACTGCTATCAAGCAGTAGATATAGGCAAACGGTTTAACAAAATTTAAAAAAACACTAAAACAGCGGTTTAAACGTAACTTTTTTTCTTTGCGCGCTCCCGCCCGAGAAAATGAAACTGTTCAGGCGGCCGCAAAGCATCTTGGGGCGGGCGCATGCGCAGTTCGGATTCTCGGCTGGGAGACGAGCAGAGACGCAAGGTAAGTGTATGGACGCGTGCACCCGCATGCAGACACCGCTGGATCGGAGAGCCGCCGCACCGCTGGAGGGACAGATAAAAACATCAGGAAAGAAGATCGGAATAAGAGACATCATTTAAGGTAAGTGCTTTACTTAACATCGGGGATAGGGAAACATTTTTTTACTTTAATGCCACTTTAAATATATAGTATAGAGATGTCCATCTTATCCAGAAATCCCAGATTGGCCTCTCTAGAGATGATAGCAGCATTGTGGCCTACGTAATCACCAATCCAGGTGGCTCAGGTAGCTGCTTTTCACACAGATTAATGTGTACAAGTACCTACTAATTGCACATCTCAGAAATGATTTATGTGCTGGCAGGAGGGGGAAAATAGGACAAAATATAATTTCCTTCAGAACCTCCACCACTCATACAATGGTATCATCACAGCTGTGAGATGGGGTGTGATTAATGAATTTTAAGTAAATACATAGCAGTCAGAGAAGGCTTGGTTCTGCTGACACACACGCTTGGTAAGGAAGTGGCACTAGTTAAGAACAGGGGATGTTATGCTTTCCTGCTTCCTTGGAGGTATTGAGCATAGCTAAACATCTTCTATATATTAGAATCCTTTATTATAGGTATTTATAGGCCTATGTCTCTATACCATCAACCTGAAACTTAGTCCATACCTGTCACTATAATAAACATAGCATAAAATGGAATAGGTTGTTTCGTAAAGTCATAGTGTTTACGAAACTAAGGGATGCTTATTTTCTTATACTATCTTATACTAATTCTTATATTCCTCCTTTTCATCTACATGCACCACAGTTTTAAAGGTTTAACGGGCCACCTAATACACAATTTATTGTGACCCCGAATTTTCAGTATATTTTGGTTTCCTATTTTAGCATTTTCCCGTTCCTTGACTTTTTTCTCTTCTTGTGCAATTTCTTGTGTATAAAACTGTGCATATTGATTGTCAGTTCTCCTCAATGTACACAAGTCACCATGGTATAATTGACATTCAAAGGGTTTTTGTACATCCAAAGAGGGGAATTTATTAAAACTGGAGCAGCTGTGCATGGCAACCAATCAGCTTACGGATTTCATTTTCAAATCTTAACTGAACAAAATATAGAAAGAAGCTAATTGGTTGCCATGCACAGCTGCTCCAGATTTTTTTCTGCTTCAATTTTGACACATTTCTCCCATAGGGTTTTTGTACACAAACCGTTTGTATTTGTGCTCCTTTTCTAGCACCACATATTGGATTCTAAAAAGTGGACTTCTCAGTAATTATAAAAGTCAAAATGAATAAGTTCCTGACGTGTAACAAACAATATACAGAAAGTTGTTTTTTGGGGGGTTTTTTTTTTAACTGTTCCACCTTTTATCATTAAAAACCCATCCTTGAGCACCAGACAAGTGACTGTGCCTTGGCTCAAATGATGCAAGCAGTCTTCTCTTCCCCATGTTCACTCAGACTGTACATTGTAGTTTTGTAACCAATCACAAATTCGAGCAGTGTATTGGCAGGTTAAGTGAACATCCCAACTTGATTTGGAACGTAGGCAGAAAGAAAACTGGATGAGGCAGTATTGTGAGTGCGGGTTTTAAACGGATGTCATTGGGATCAATTGCCATTTTATGTAATAGTCCAAGTAAAAATGTACTTGCACTCAAAGTGCAGTGACCCGCACTCTGTAAACTTCCAAATGAAACTTTGGAGCGTGTTAGTACTGTAAGTGATTATATTATATTTCATGCACATTAATTCTTTCCTTATTTTGTGTTGCAGCTTTTAGAGTTTGATAAAGAGTTATCAGTCTTCAAAGACCGACTGTATGAACTGGACATCACATTTTCTCCCAGGTAAGAACTGTACTAATTGTTAAAAACCCAGCTACTGCATTCAAAATGGGTCAAACATATTACTTCTAGTGATTCAACTGCTTTATAACTCATGTGTGGCTTGTAAATAATAATCAGGTGTACAGTTTTTTAAGGTGCCAAACATTAATTTTTCCCCACACGCATGCTATTTTTCCTAATATTGCATAGACCATGATGGGCTCTGCAAATATTTTTTTGTATACAAGATGATTTGTGTACTCCATATATGCATTAAAAAAATAGGTGCAAACCATCTTATTAGGCAAAGTACAGTATTCCATTATAGACCATCTTTCAATGGTCTGACTGCTTTGAACTGCTGGAATATATCTGGTTGCTGTAGGTAAGTGCACTTTGTACATAACAGTTGTGGGTGTTAAGGGTTCTCACAATCTCTTTGTTGCTCAGCATCCCAGGAAACAGAATGCAATGGAGCAGTCAGTCCTGCTGCCATAATCCAGCATCTTCGCTGCCAGCTGAGGTTCTGATTATACCTGTCCCCTGGGAGGTCAGAACTGTGGTTGTTGAGGTGGCTGCTGCTCTCGATTGTTCTCACTGATTGATTATGATAACCGTAGGCCAGAAGTGCGTAAATCTCTGTTCAAGTCATACGTTATTTACCCTTGACCGGTGGTGTTAAAGGGGTTCTTGATTTAAGGGTGAACATGAAATTCCTTCCATAGGAGGGTTTTTGTATGTGGGATCCATGCTCACAAAGCATCTCCCCAATGAATTCTGGGTAATTGCTGTTTTTATTGTTCCATTAACCTGCACTTGGCGTTTTGCCTTGGGGGATATAAAAGCCGACGTAGAAATGTGCTGGAATCTATAGCTTCTCTATGGATTGTCTATACTTAGAGATGGTCCTGTCAGTATATTTTATCCCATTTCAACACAAAACCGAACACAAAAATTAAAATTTGGGCTGCAATGTAAAACACATAGAAAATTTTAAAAGAAAACCCAAAAAACACACCTAATCATTATTTAGTTTTAACTACTGGATATATATATGATTTTGAGTCGGTCCTCATCTGTGTCCTTGTTCTGGGTCAATGATTAAAAATTACTCAAAAAGGCCAGTATTACATCCAGGAAACTAGCATTTTCACTTTCAATATTTTTTTTTTGAACTTTCACAGGTGAAATCCAACAACGTTCCAGAGATTTACATATTTTTATGTTTATAATCAACTTTCATACAATAAAGATATTCAACAGAGATCCATGTATATGTAATCAGTATCTAATAAGCAGAACCTATCATTTTCATAAGGAGAGCTCACAAAAGATAGATATCCTTCTGTCTCTTCATCTAATCCCAGATGGACGCGATGATGCTGAGATCAGGGCTCTGTGGGGGCCAAACCATCACTTCCAGGACTCCTTGTTCTTCTTTACGATGAAGATGGTTCTTAATGACATTGGCTGCATGTTTGGGGTTGTTGTCCTGCTGCAAAATATATTTTGGGCCAATCGCACGCCTCCCTGATGGCATGGCATGAATGGATAAGTATCTGCTTGTATGTCTCAGCACTGAGGACACCATTGATCCTGACCAAATCTCCAACTCCATTGGCAGAAATGCAGCCCCAGACATGCAAGGAACCTCCACCATGCTTCACGGTTGCTGCAGATACTCATTATTGTACTGCTCTCCAACCCTTCAGCGAACAAACTGCCTTCTGCTACATACAAATATTTCAGCTTTTGACATCAGTCCAGAACACCTAATGCCATTTTTCTGCACCCCTCTTCCTATGTTTCCTTGCACAGTTGTGTCACTTTAGCCTTGTTTTCACATCAGAGGTATAGCTTTTTGCCCGCAAGGTCACAGAAATGGCAGCAGGTGCTCTGGACTGATGAGTCAAAATGGGAAATAGTTTACTGTAGCAGGAGGCAGTTTGTTGCTGAAGGGCTGGATAGCGATACAATAGTGTCTGCAGACAACAGTGAAGCATGGTGGAGGTTCCTTGCAAGTCTGGGGCTGCATTTCTGCCAATGGAGTTGGAGATTTGGTCAGGATCAATTGTGTCCTCAATGCTGAGAAATACAAGCAAATACTTCTCCCATCAGGGAGGCGTGTGGCTGGCCCCAAATGTATTCTGCTGCAGGACAATGACCCCAAACATACAGCCAATGTCATTAAGTACTATCTTCAGCGTAAAGAAGAACAAGGAGTCCTGTAAGTGGGATTACATGAAGAGACAGAAGGATTTGAGGCAGCCTACATCCACAGAAGATCTGTGGTTTAGTTCTCCAAGATGTTTGGAACAACCTACCTGCCGAGTTCCTTCAAAAACTGTGTTCAAATGTACATAGAAGAATTGTTGCTGTTTTGAAGGCAAAGGGTGGTCACACTAAATATTGATTTGATTTGGATTTCTCTTCTGTTCATTTACGTTCCATTTTGTTAATTGATTAACATAAACTATTAACACGCTTATTTCTGGAAGCATTCTTACCGGCTTGTTTTGTGTTCATTATGCAATAAAAACATATATTTCACCATAGGCAGCAAATTGGCCAAGAATAGCCTTACCTGAGTTTAAAGGCAGTGGCAATTTCAACATAGTTTCTCTAATCTTGCTTCTTATGGAATAAATCAATGTTCCCATTGGGGAACAACTGAATTGTTATTTAGGTCTGTACATTTGCTCTCCTTGCTTTGTGTACTTTAAAAATCTTGTCTCCTTGAGTGCCGTAGATGATTTTCACATCCAAATGTCAGCTTTGTTTGACAAGTTGTGGAGGTCAAGGTCTGTATTGACTCTGGCTCTTTTGTGATTCCTAAATGACGACTCACTATACTTAACACTCGGTGCGATGGTGTGTTTTTCTGATTACAGCAAATGAAAACGGATATATGCCGTAACCCGAGACATGATATTCATGAGTGACAAGTGCCTAGCATTATTTTATGTAAACCTCTTTATACTATCCACATATTTGCTATAAAGTTATAATAAATACTATGCTCTGAGAGAAGTACACACTTTTGCACTTTTTTTTAATGATCTTTCAATGCACGACTCATCTAAGATGTTTTCCTAATGCTGCAGCACCTCCAGCAGTTATACAGATCTGTTTTCTTATTGGCAGACCATACTAAGAACCCACCAGAAGGAAGATGTAGGACTTTCATGTAACATGTTAGCCACTGGTCCCTGTGTTCAGCACCCTCCTTAGCACTTTGTGCAGCATGTGTGGTTTGCTGCAGGAGAACCATGGCCCCATCTGGGTGGGGTCCTGACCCTGAACACCCCCATGCAGTAGGCCCAGGGCCCTACAGGGTTAAATCTGAAGCTCTGGCGTAGTTTTTGTGTTGCACTCCTAGGGATAGTTCAGCATGTGCCCGCCATTTTCTCTCACCCTGGTGCGCACTCTGGCTGAATACATGCTTCCTTCTCGTGCTGTGACTCTGCGCGCACATAGACAGGGTAAAGCTTGGCCACTACACAGCTCAAGCTTGGGTCACTTTGTGCCTGAAGGTCTCCAGATACAAGGCACCCTCTCACCCTGGTCATGAGTAGTGGTGACGCACATGGTGGATCATAGATGCAGAGTTGCCTGGGCAGGGGAAGACACAGTAATCACGCAACCTGACAGGCATCTGGTGAGGGTTCTATAAAAATGGCTGAGGGGCCAGACCCCCTCTGACTTTCCTTTTGTCTGCCTTAGCACTACTTGACCGGTTCCTTCAGCCTCTCACCCATTCTACTCCAGTGATGGAATGTCCCTTGGTATTCTCATGTCCAATACACTGTAGAGGACGTGATGATTCACTGGAACTTAGAGCGTTGGAATGGAGGGGGAGCGAGGTGGAAGGAACCGATCTAACAGCCAGCCAGGATCATGGGTCGGGTAAGTATGACCGTTATTTTAGCTCCCTAAACAAAACGAGCACTTAACCCTTGAAATGGGGGTTAGCCCCACTTCAATGATTATTATTTATTTGACCAGATTTCTTCTTTAATGGATTTTTGCTATTTGTGCTTTAAATGTGTTAGTTGTTCGTTTAAAGTACTTCTAAATGAACAAACACATATTTTCCATGGCTATAATCTGGCTTACAAAGTTTATTTTATACACTTCACTATCATAAGATCAGGGATTATGACAAAATCTGTTTGTCTCCCTCCTATTGATTGTACACGCATTTCCAAAACTTTCTTTTCAAATTTGTATCATCTTATATCCAGTTTTGATTCTTTCTTCAGTGCCTGACATAATACAGTACATATAATCCTGCCATTGCCGTCATATGCCAAGAGAGAACTGGAATGCAGGAAAAATCTAAGGTATAAAACAACTTGAGGGTTTGAACTGTTTATAGTTTGGTTTCTTGTTCCTGGACATTTGTATTCAGTCCTATACAAGTGCAAAGCTGTTATCACTTTATAAGGAGCGTCATTCCTTGTTCTGGTCAGACAGGGTTAAAAGTGGCATAAAGCCACAAAGGGTTTGGCACAAGCGGTAAATTCTCAGAGCTTACTCTAGGAGTCATCAGTCAGGTCAGGCTTGGCTGCTCCGATCACTGCTCACCCTTGTGATGAATTTTGCCTTGCCATGTTAGTTGTGGCCCTGGAGCCAGAAAGGCACGACAGAGCAGTGATGGAGTGCCGGCATCTGACACCAGGGCTTTAAAGCACTACTTTACTGCACAAAGGCCAGAGTCTGAGATCAGGTGCACAATAAGGGAATGGTTTTGTTACAGATCAGAAATGTGATTAATATATTCTTACTGTCACCCTCAGAATGTTAATACTGTGAATTCATATGAATGGGGAGCGAGTCCAGCTATTAATAAACAAAGTTGTAAGTAAAAGAAATGGTTGCTTGGGATGGACGTTTTTATATGGTTTGCTGCTGTTCTCTCTTAAGCAGAAGTAAGCCAGCATCAGATTTCCCTGTCTGCATAGTTTTCTTGATTTACATGTGTGGTGATAAAAGGGTTTTTTAACAGTTTGTTTCATCAT